CTTATGGCAATTCACACTTATACGAATATTTGTAAATCTATTTAGCGCACTTATGCCAATTTACACATATGCCAGTTTGCACTTATAGCAGTTTGCAATTATGCCAATTTTTGGAATTCTTTTTGTGCAGTTATGCTCATTTGCACTTATGCCATTTGGCATTGTGCCAGTTTTTGTAACTGCTTCACACATGTGCTAGTTTGCGCATATGAAATTCACGGTTATTCAGTCATCCCATTATGGTAAAACAGCTAACGTAGAGCCATGCATGGGATTTGTATAATGGATTGTAAGATGGGAGTAATATCACTATAAAATTAAACAGAGTATTTATAGGAATGCACTTTTAATTTACTAACCTCTTCATCATAGCTATCACAAGTTTTTGACAGTTCTTACCATTAATATTTTGAACTCTTTGTTTCTAATAGAAAGAAATAATGGAAATCTGACAATTCCTAATTAAGTAGTAAAAATTATATATTGTTAAGAAAATTAAAAAAAAAAAGAAAAATCTGTCAAATCACTATTTAGCAATTTACAACTGCAGAGATACTACTGAGTTACTAGATGAAACATTGTCAAGTGCTGAGTCAAACTTATCAAATTCTATTATGCTGTTCATTTCAGTTACTACTTCTTCTTCACACTATTTTATATTAAGTTTTTTGTATCCTTGGGTTTCTATCTCATTTAAGAGAAGCAACACATAATATTGAAAGTCTAAACAAATTTACACTAATTAAATTTTACATTGTCTTAACTGAACTACGTAAATAAATTTAAAATACATAAATTTAACTATTTAACAACTTTACTGGTCTAAGCCTAAATCAGAGAAAAACTAATAGACAGTAAAATACCTAATAGTGGCAATGCTATATTATATATATTAGCATTTTTCTTAGATTTCGGATTAGACAAGAAAGATTGTTCCATAGATTTATAGTTTTAATAATATTGAAATAATGGATTTCATGAAAGTGATTATTTAAAGTTAAAATTGGAACCTCATCATTTTAATGATATTTTTTAATATTGACAGTCATGTTAGCATTTTACAACAAACATTACATTATTATTTTTAACTAAAGACTTACTTGCTTGAGATAATGGAAATCCATAATGTTTATCCTTTTTATTTAAAAATGATGAAGATTGATGTGTCTTAAAACGAATCTCTTGGTCATCACAATCAATATCATCTTTGTTTATTATTTTTTGACCTACACAACACAAACATAGAGAATATTTGAATTTCATCTAACAACTTGTCTTCTCATGTAGCAATTTTACAATTAAAAAATTTTTACGAATTACTTTACAGATTATTAACTTTATAAGTAAAATAGGCTATTTAGTAAGGTATTTAATATTATAGGTTTCATACTGCTAAACATTTGGTAATAACACCAGAATATCATTAAAAAATAAAAATTTTAAAATGACATTTTGAAGTAAGTCACTCCCTTTCTTGAAACAAATCATCATATTTTTTCCTTTCAGCCTTTTTTAACTATAGTAATTCCTTTATAAAAACCACTGATATTATTTTTAATTTTTAGAGTTAAAGAAGAAAATACAGAAATACAAACACAACCTAGTTTCAACGAAGGCATACAATTTTAAACTAAAAATACTCCAATATATTTTCAAATTTAATTCTACAAAAAAACAATACAAACACTTGGTTGATTTAAATATATATAGTAATTTATATAATTTTTACTTATATAAATCAATTCGCCTAATCGAAGGTCACGCCATTATTTGAGTAAACATACTCTTTTAAATATTGCCGTGCTGTACGTTTAAAAAAAAATTTTATCACGTTAAAAAAACGTTTTAAAAACGTTCATAAGCTAACTGAGAAATTTCGTAAGTTAATAAAAATAAATAAAACGTTTAAAAAACGCTAAAAAAACGTTTAAATTAACATTAAAAAAAACGTTTGCAAAAAAACGTTTTAAAAACGCTTGTATTGGTTCTTTTAACGTCCGACCGTAAATTGAACGGAATTAAAACGTTTTAAAAACGTCCTGTGCTTACTGGGTAACGCGTTATCTTTTGGGTAAGATAAGCCACTAGAAAAATAAATGAAAAAACTTAATTAGGTTTTTTCAGAAACTAACGAAGTATCACTAAAAGATATTTTTTACAGAAAAATTTAGTAACAAATTTTATGGCATGAAGAACGTTACAAACAAGAAATTTTTTTTCTTTATTTAGAAAATACAGTAAGGGGGCAAGTGCCCCCTCTTGCCTTCCCCTTGCGGGCGCCCATGTATATATATATATATATATATATATATATATATATATATATATATATATATATATATATATATATATATATATATATATATATATATATATATATATATATATATATATATATATATATATTAGATGCCATATTCCAGCTGGTAGGAAAACAAGATTCAGTCAAGCACTTTATTAATAGTTTAGAAAGAATTGAAGAGAGTTCTAAAAAACACTTTTTAAAGAGTTTGAATGTGCTTATAAAGTTCTAAAAATAAATAAGGTGAGAGAACCGGATAAAATAAATGTAAGATTATAATTAGTTTTAAACTATAGTCTTTCAAGTCTTTAGTTATTCAATAAAACAAGGAAAATTTTCCTGATCAACTTAAGATAGTCAAAGTAACACCAATAATTATAAAGGACTAAGGATGGGGTGGGGGTATTGTTAGCAGTAACTAATTCTCGTTCAATTTCCATACTTTCTTGTTTTTCAAAGATTATTGAAGGAATTCTTTACAATAAAATTTATGATCATCTTTCTATAAATAAAATACTTAATTTAAAACAATTTAGATATAAAAGAAATATTTACAATGAACACGCAGTACTATTGTATATTATAAATTTGTTTAATTAGTTTTTGGAGTTTTCATTGATCTATCAAAAGCTTTTGATACAATAGATCATGAGTTTCTTATAAAAAACTTAAAAAATTATAGAAGTAGTAGTTGTTTTATAAAACTACTAAAAAGCTATTTAAGCAATCATAAACAGTTTTTGGAAAATTGTATCCTCCTCTACAAATTTACTAGTTACAACATGTGGTTTCTCCCAAGGGAACACCACATGTTGCCTAACAAATTTGCTTTTGTTTTCTTTAAAAAAAAAAAAGCTAATTTAGATTGGTTAAATAAGTTTTAAATTTTTTATTAGTAAAAAATATTTTCTCAACATTTGATGCTTATTATTTTAATTTTATGTTCATCCATTTGCCAAAATTACCTCCTGTAAACTACCTCCTGAAAACTACCTCCTGAAAACTACCTCCTTAAAACTACCTCCTGAAAACTACCTCCTGAAAATATTTTAAAGTGTCTTCTATATCTATTGACTTGACCTCGTCCCTTTTTTTTTTTACTTAAATTTATTAATTTCTATTTTACAAACCATTAACTTTTTCAAACAAGTATATATATATATATATATATATATATATATATATATATATATATATATATATATATATATATATATATATATATATATATATATATATATATATATATATATATATTTATATATATATATATACATATATATATATATATATATATATATATATATACATATATATATATATATATATATATATATATATATATATATATATATATATATATATATATATATATATATATATATATATATATATTTATATATATATATATAAAGAATTTGTTTTTTTTTTGTTTCTTTTTTCAATCTAGTCCGGTATAAATATTTATTTCTCACTAAATGGCAACCACTATTAAGAAACATGTTATCGCCATCTCAGAAATTTATTTTATGCTAGTATTGGCCTTCAATTTTTTACTTTTTTTTTTTTTTTCCTAATGATTAATTTTTAGGTCTAATTTTTTGTTTCGGGATCAAAGTTTTATAACTGATGTTTTTATAATAACGTATTTTTTTAGCATAATTTAAATGCCATTGTACTAAAAAGATCCGGTCATATGACTAGTAGAATCTGGAGAAAAAAAAGAGAAAATGATTTTGTGTAAAACATTTATTAATTTAATAGAAAATTAGCTGGAACATGGCATAGTCACATGGAAATTGTTCTTACCTAAATTTGGACTACTGCTTTCTTCTTTTTCATTAGAAAATAATGATATGAGTTGAGCTGACACCACTTTTTTTTGCGTTGAGGTTTTAACTTCTTTATCAACTAGAAGCTAACCGTTTATTCATTCTCTCTATTTTCGCTTAAACTTGTTATTTCTTTTTGTCTTTTACTACCGCCAGTATGGATACAATTTGATTTGAAGTCACAATCTGAAGCTGATATAAGTCTATAAGTTGATATAGATGTTATAGATTGACATAGAGGCTATAAATTAACAAAAAGGCTATAGAATGATGAAGAGGCTATAAATTGACATAGATGCTGAAAATTGACATAGAGGCTTTAGATTGACATAGAGGGTATAGATTGACTTAGAGGCTGTAGATTGACATAGACTATTTAAGATGATGAGTAAGCGCTGAATTGTTAAAATTTAAAAAATTTTAATGTGTCGCTCAGTAGTCTGTGCTGTAGTAAAATTTAATTTAAGTTTCTCACTTGAGTCTGAGTTTTTGCATTCAAATACGAAATCGCTTCTACTTTAATTAAAGCTTCAACAAAGCCATCTTGGTTGATCCGCTCAAATAGGTGCACATTCCCAGCGTTTTTTTTTTTTTTGTAATATTAACTTTGTGTAACCATGGTTACACAAAGTTAATATTACAAAAAAAAAACGCTTGGTACCAACAGCTTTAGAATTAAGTAGCTGCAACCCGCGTTTTTAGAAGGCACTTCTAGTTTTCAGTTAAAGATTGGATCAGCAAATTTTTTTTTGAAACATAAGAATTGTATTTGGTTTTAAAACCCTCTGCCAACTTTAACCATGCAGCCTTTATTGATCCTTTTAACCCTAATAGATACACAGTAGAATTTATAAAAAAAGTCCTAGGTAGGGAAACTTAATAGCTGCTTTTATAAACTGAAAACTAACGCCGTATTTAATAATTTAATTTAAAAAAGTTTTGATATTATTCAGTTATGTGTCTTAAAATTTAATTTAACTTTTCTGAAAAGAAATATTTTAATCATTCAGTTATGTGCCATAATTTTTTCTTTAAATATTCTGAAGGTGTAGTATGATAACTTTAAGAAAATTAAAACGTCAATTATTTACGGTGGCGAATACTTGCAGGTGAGTACGGTAAAAATTATCTACGGTGGCGAATACTTGCAGGTGAGTGTGGTAAAAATTATCTACGGTGGCGAATACTTGCAGGTGAGTGTGGTAAAAATTATCTACGGTGGCGAATACTTGCAGGTGAGTGTGGTAAAAATTATCTACGGTGGCGAATACTTGCAGGTGAGTGTGGTAAAAATTGGCAAAGACTACACTTCTTATTATTTAGGTTTTTTTAAATAAAATTTATCCATACACATACTTACTTGTTCATTATTTCAAAATTCATACACTAATTCTATACTATATTCTTATTGCATACTAATTCTATACTATAATGTTATTGCAAATTAATTTAGATTATAAATAATGTACTTTTTAGATCCTAGTCCGAAGTTCTGAAATTTTTCATTTAGCATTTAAGGAAGTTATTTATTTATTTTTTTATACAAACTTCTGTTTTTTTATTTAGTTACGTCATTAATCGCCAGTTATAAAAAGAACATCAAAGCTTTATTTTAGCTGTACTATCTGCGATTTCAGTTGGTGGTAAAATGTGGAAATAAACTAAAGTACTTCTGTATCCATATTTTTGAGAGACACCCAGAAAAAAAAAATTTTAAAGAATTTTCTATAAACTTTTGAAACATATGGCCTATAGAAACTCTATAGAATTTCTATAGAATGTCTATTAATTTCTATAGCAATTGCTATAAAATTTTTTTCTTTAAAAAAAAAGAAGAAAAAAAATTGAATAGAAATTAAAAGAGATTCTATAGAAGTTCAATAGAGTTCTATAGAATTTCTATCGGCTGTTGGTTTCAAAAGTTTATAGAAAATTCTATAGAACTTTTTTTCCTGGGTGTTATCCAATATTTTTCTTTGAATCATCTTCTGAATTGTAACCATCTTCTTGATTTAACTTATTTTCGTTTTTATGACAGCAACACCTGGATAAGAAAGGTTAACAATAAATGTATTCAATATTATGATATAAATTCTACTAATTTATTTAAATTCCATCATACAAAGTTTAAATTTGTTCAAAAATGCAGCAATATCTGAACTGATAGAAAAAAATTTTCTGAAAGAAAATTGTACTGATCTTAAAATAGTTGTACCGAATATCTTATTATCATTGTACCTAGTATCTTATCATTTAATTGTACCTGGTTTTTTCTTTTTAATTTTTAAAATTATTTTAATTATAAATATTGGTTTTAAAATTATAATATTTGGTCAGAAATGTTTTATTATCTTCATTTAAAATCTTGATATCTGGCCATGCAGGCCTCTTAAAAAACTGTTTTAAGTCTTGTCATTGACAACCTTTATTAATTTTAGGAAGTAATTTTATTATTAAGTTTATAAAGTACTTATAATATTTTTAACTAATGACCTGTTATATAAAGTAAAAATAAAATTCATATATGTATTAGGACGATTCCACGCTCAAGTGAGTTATTTCGGTTTAAAAAAAAAATTCAAACAAAAACCAAGTTATCATTGGGTTGCCATATGTTTGAAATGTTTAAATTTTGATTAATAATTATTGTTAATATAATAATTATTGTTAATATAATAATTATTTATATGCGCATTGTTAATATGCGCCCCGTGAGTAACGATTCAATCTCCTGTAAGTAACGACTCATTGTGAATAGATGAATTTCATTACAATCTTTCCATTGTGAATGGAAAGATTGTAATGAAAGGATGTACCAAATAGTTCAAAGTACTTCAGTGGAACACTAGTACAATCACCTGTGCTTACTGATGTTATCCTTTTTAACTCATAGCTTTATTAAAAGACAGCACCATAAGAGTTTAGAATCTGACAGAAATAGCGCAGAAGAGGTGGATGATATGGCAGTGTTATAAATGAATTACGCTGGAAATTATAAATGTTTTTCACAAGAAGAAGTTCAATATGCATACTGGAATCAACAGCAGATAACTATTTTTACTTCTTTAACGAGGTTACAAAACATAAAATACTGTCATGCAGTTGCTACTGATTGTACAATTCATGAAGAAACATCATTAGTAATTCTTGATAAATTGATTCAAAGCCCACAAAAAAAATTTGTTGAGTTAAGAGTTTAGACAAATGGCCCTTCAAGTCAGTTTTATTTAAACAGTTTTATTATGTCGGGTGCTCAAGCTTTCCAAAAAAAGTATGGAATTGTTATAAAATAGAGCTACAGTGCAACTAGTCATGGTAAAGAACCTGTAAATGATTTAAAGCAACAATTAAAATAATTGCTTCTAATCAGGTTTTAACCAGAAAAGCTGTTATTAACAATGCTGAAGATTTTTATCACGTTGTTTCTAAAACTAGCCCAAAATTTCAAACTTTTTAATTTTATTTGAGGATATTCCTCAAAGAAGTAATAACTAAATCTACAAGATATATTTCATTACATTTCAAATATAGTAAAAGGAATTTCCAACTTTCATTACTTTTCTTTTTTTGATGATTGCATCCAATTAAAACGATATTCTTCAGAGTCTGAAACAGTAACTCCAAAAGTAAATACAGCCAAAGAAAAGAAAAGAAACAAAATTGATGTTATTATGCATTTTATCAATCAGGTTTTTGAATATTGTTATGTAAATTGATTGAATTTTTAACAAAATTTTTACATTTTTTTTTTTTTTTTAGATTAATACAATCAATCCAAAAATCGGAGTAAAGAAGTATATGCTGCGAAACAAACAGTAAATGTAATATTATCATATTTTACATAATAATGCCAAAATAGATACCCGGTGGGAAATGAGCTAGCGACTAGCTAGCGACTAGCTAGCTCTATAGCGATTTTCAAGCGATTTTTTTTTTTCTTATTTTATTTTTTGCAAGTGTCTTTAACATCTTGAAAAATTCGATTTTTAGTGTTGAGTCTATTATAATTATGAAAATAATTGAACTTCAAACATTGCCATTTTGTAGCAATGTATCGCTAGCTATATATCGTAGCTTTGTAGCTAGCTACAAAAATATCTACAAATCTATAGCTGGTTGATAGCTACATATCAAAATTTTTTAGACAACGATTTTATTACGATATGACGCTAGGTGCAATAGCCAGTGGATCTTCAGCTTATTAAGCTAGCTGTCCTCGTAGCCAAATCGCTGTTTTTATCTTTAAAAATATCGATAGCTTTTCGCTAACTTAAAGAAGCTAGCGATCTTCGTGGCCAAATCGCTGTCTTTTTATCTATTTTATCTATTTTATCTTTTTATCTATTTTATCTTTTATATTATTAACTTTTAATAATTGAGCAAATTTGCAATATACAGGAAAACAAATAAATAATTTTTGGATGGTTCATATATATATATGTATACATATATATATATATATATATATATATATATATATATATATATATATATATATATATATATATATATATATATATAAACATCCAATCTGTTAAAATTAAAAATATATATAAAAATAAAAAGGTGACATTACAAAAATCCAAATGTTCCATATGTAATGGTGGAATTGCCCATAAGGTAAAAAAACATTTATACATGTAAATATAATAGATGCATTTATGTTTATATAAAGCAATGATTGTTTTTGTCTTGCAGTTTCAGATTGTCTGACTCAATGTGTGTTTATTAAGTTTGACTTATGCAACAATATTGTTTAGTACATATTTTTCGTTTGTCATATCCCCTGTTTACTTCACAATTTGTCAATTTTCATACTAATTGAATGAAAAAAATCTTATCCCATAAAAGTTTGATCAGACACATTATAAACTAATTACAAATTCATCATAACATTTTCCAATCTAACGTCTTAAGGTTGATTTAAATTTGAACCTATTTTGGTCTTTCTGTTTTGACAATTTAGAAACGTTACATCACTAAGTTTTAAATACGTTATTTGTTCTTATGCAGCTGTTACAGATTTGACTGATTATTTTTCAAAACCGTTTTTTTTTTAATTTTTTAATAAACTTCTAACTGTTTATTTACTTTTTTGTTCGAGTAGCATATATATCAAGCATATATTTCATGTGTTTCAAGCATATATTTCATATATTTCAAGCATATATTTGATATATTTCAAACATATATTTCAAGCATATATTATATATATTTCAAGCATATATTTCATATATTTCAAGCATATATTTGATATATTTCAAACATATATTTCATATATTTCAAGCATATATTATATATATTTCAAGCATATATTTCATATATTTCAAGCATAATATACATATATTTCAAGCACATATTTCATATATTTCAAGCATATATTTCATATATTTCAAGCATAATATACATATATTTCAAGCATATATTTCATATATTTCAAGCATAATATACATATATTTCAAGCATATATTTCATATATTTCAAGCATAGCATGCATATATCATACCTAAATTAAACTCTCCTTAAGACCAAACGCAATTATAACAAAGAAAAATTGTTTAAAAGTATATTTACTTTTAAATTGAATTTAATAGCGCTGCAAAGATTAGAAAATAGAATACTTTTATGGTAAAACGTATTACATCACTGTTTTTAATTCAAAGCGTTTTCTACTTGAATTTATCCTTTCAACTTTTATTTAGATTTTTTTGTAAATTCGCATTGTGATTCGCCTGCATTCCGCGTTCTGTTTAGATAACTTTAATATGATTCGTCTGCATATCACTTCCTTGTTGGCTAACTTTATTGTGATTCGGCTGCATACCGCGTTCTGGTTGGTTAACTTTATTTTTAATTGACTCAGACTGTCTGATACGACTTCTACGAAAACTTTTACGTAGTATTTTAGACCGATAAAAGTAAATCGCAGGATTTGTTAAAGATTTGGTTAGAGTAAGTGTTTGTCCCCACCGGTAAAAGATATAAGTCCATTGCCAATAATAACTTACGCTTTTAAAATGCCATAAACAAAGTAATGAAATGTATGGTAAATACGCAATGCAAGTCGATAAATATATCATCAGGGTTATATTATTTATTTTCAAATTTTTATTGACTTTTTTCCCCAAAACTAAGTTACTACGCTTTTTTTCTTGTCTATTTTTATTTTTATCGAAGTTGTTTTCATTTTCATCTGAAAAATTTGTTTTAGGATTTTGTGTTGAAATTATTCGTCGAATCATTTTTACTCTGTTATGCAGTTTCGTATGGATATATAAAACAACCATTATTAAAATTGGAATAAAATAAATTATAACTAACTCAATTAGTTTTCTATTTTCAGTTAAAAAGCTCAATCCTGTTAATAAAAAAACAAAAACAGCAATAATACAGACCAATTTTACGTAGAGGCGTGGGTTGTTATGAATGTATTTTTGGTAGAAAAATGGTTGGAAAACGGCAATATACCGATCAATTGAGCCTAAGCAAACTAATAAGAATGATAATATTCCAAATGAATAAGATGTAAAATTTGCAAATAAAAATAAGCTGCAATTATGGGAATGTAAAGTTGACATTATATAGACCGTTTCCCACGGAAAAATTGAGAAGGTTCCAACTAATAAATCACAGAATGACGTAACAGCTAATAAAATGTTTGCTGGGTTGTGCATATTCCGACAGTAATAGGTTATTCCAACAATGTAGGTATTTACCAAAACAATTGGAACAGACAAAATTAAATTAATACAAATAACCAAATAAAGCAATCCATTGATTTGTACACACAGAAAGATCCGAGAACAATAAAGTACGTAATATGATGAATTCATATCATTTAGCTTTACGGCTTTAAAGCGTAAACTTGATTTTTTTGATAAAAAATAACGTTTTTTAAAAAAAGGATTAAATCATAGCGTTTTTTAGCAAGTAATACTTGCATTAAATCTAATTACAATATTTAATATAAAAAAACATTTTATTGAAAAGCTTTCTGGAAAAAAACAAAACAACTATTGCAAAATCTCTTTTGTTTTTTATTCACGCTATGATCGCAGTTGTTTTAACTGAAACAAATAAAAAATAAACAGTTTATATATTTATTTCAATTTGTTATTTTATTCAGAATTAAAATGTTGATAACTTAAAGCTAATCGGTAATAGCAAGATGGCGCAATTCTTGTGCTAACAGAAGTTACCACAAGTGTTGTGAAGACTTGTCTAAATCGAAACACAGTCTTATTTAACAAAAGACGGCTTAGTTACGAAAACCAAGTGACGTATCAAAGCTTGTCTAAATTGAAACACCCAAGGTATAAGTCTTATTTAACGAAAGATGGCTTAGTTACGAAAGCCTTTATAGAATGAGTAATGTAGACAGGCTTGTTTTAACTACCATGCTATTAACTATGATTTGACTTTATTGACTGCACTTTTAGTGAAAATAAGTTTTAGTTTTTCAAATAACTATTTTGTGTCAACTAACGCAACTGATATTCTAATTTTAGAAAAAAGAATTCCTAATTGGAACAATTTAAATCTTTAAACAAAATGTAACAATGAAACACGTCATCAACAAAAAAAAAATCAACACATGCTTTTAATAAAAGATATCACAATAAAGAATTCTTTTAATTGTTATTAATAATTTTTCAAGTTTTTTTAACAGCTTTTGCACTCGTAGGCAGTGGCGGCTCGTGTATAGGGGCCAAAGGGGCTCGGCCCCACCTATATTTATTTAAAATAAAGTATTCTTTTTTTTTTCTTTTTTTTTTTTATTTATTTATTTATTTTGCCTTTGATAAATATTACAAAAAAGAAATTAAAATAAAAGAAAATCCTGGCCGGAGCAAGAAGAAGACAGGTTGTCTTATCACCGAGCCCCGTCACACATGCACAATAAATGATAAAAGACAAAAGACAGTATAAATACAAAAACAAATCAAAAACTTCAGCAATAAAATATTTTGTTGCTAAAAATCTTCCAGCAGAATAATTTAAATATAAAAAAGTAAAAACGACAGAAAATCATGAAAGTTATAAAAACACACAAAAAAAAATGCGTTGTTTAATTAAAACAAAAAAAAAAAAAAAAAGCAATATATGTAAACATAAGTATTTGGGCTGATTATTAAATATCATCAAAAATAGTTATCTTTTATACCAATGGTTTGAAACCATTTTATTAAAAGCCAAAGAAAGTGATAAAGATTTAATCTATTATTAAGTGATTTAGTTTAAACCTTTAAATTGTTTTCAAAAAAGGTATTTGAAATCTAATATATCGAATTCCATGTTCAGTAAATGCCGTTTTGAATCATCCTTAAAACTTTGCAAAGTGCAGTTTAAAATGAAGTTTTGTTTTTTATTAAAGATTGGAAGAAATTTTTTCCAAACTAAAGGTCCCCGATCTTGAATTTGGTAATAAATGAATTTGGTACGAACTTGGTTTTTTTTTAGTTTAATGTTTACAAGGCTCAACAGGAACAAATTATTGGAGATCTGAAACTGCAAATTGAAAAATTAATAACTGATAATATGAATTTAACAAAAAGAGTAGATGATTTAGAAATGAATAAATCAAGTACCAGTCATATAAATAACAATGTAACGTGGGCAAACATGGTAAAAAAGTCACCGGAACAAATGCTTATGATAAATTCCGTTACTAGTGAGACAAAAGAACGAGAAAGAAGAGAAAACAATGTAGCTATTTTCGGAATTAAACCATCGGAAAACGAAGAAAAGAGTAAAGAGAAAGAAGAAAATAGACGAGAATTAATGTTTTTAAAAAATTGCAAGTAACCGTTAATGTTCAAAATTTTATGAAACTAAAACCAAGAAACACCAATAATCAAGCCCCATTTGTTGTCATACAGAAAGATAAAAGAGAAAGGAATTCTATCTTAAAAAAAGCCAAAGAATTACGAGATTCGAAAGAATATGAGAATGTTTATATAAATCCCGATTTAACGGAAAGTGAAAGGTTTAAATCAAAGTTTTTAAGAGAAGAATGCAGAAAAAAAAACAAAGAGAACATCGAAAACGAGTTCTACTATGGAATTCGAAATGAAAAAGTAACAAAAATCAAAAAATAGCTATATGATCTAAAGGACAAAAACTCAAATCATTGTTCATATTCACATGTAAATGTATTAGGAAATGCTGTGTTTAAATTTAAGGGTGGACCAACATCAATACCTAGCCTCAAAAAATTAAGAAACAACAACCCACACAAAAATCACATCAAACTTTGGTACACCAATGCAACTTCACTTAATAATAAAATGCAACAACTTAAAGCGTACTTGTCCTGTGATAAACCTTATATTATATCAGTAAGTGAAATGTGGTTCAATGATAAATCAATTATGAATATTGATGGGTACAACTGCTACAATAAAAACAGACCGTTTGGTGAAAATGGTGGAAGAGTAATGATTTATGCAAAATCAACATTTATCACAACAAGTGTTAGTCATTTAGCATTATGTGACAATGGAATAGAGCAGATATGGTGTAGTTTGACCAACGGATCAAAAAATTTATTAATTGGATGTATTTACAGACCACCAAGTTGTCCAGAAGGCTTAAACACTAAAATTAACTCAGTGCTTGGAACAGCCAAAGGTCTAGTAGACCAAAATAAAAATTCACTGGGTTAATTATAACTGGTGATTTTAATTATCCACACATAAAATGGTACAAAGATGGTGGAGCAAAACTGAAACAAAACTGTGATATTAGTATAAAATTTATTGATAATTTAAATGAAAATTTTATTGAACAATGTATTTTTGGATCAGCATTTCAAATATCCGACGAAGAACCTACAAACACACTTGATTTACTAATGACAGATAACTGCAAAAGGATTAGAGACGTAGAAATAGGCGCACCACTTGGACCAATTGAAAAAGCACATTATGTAATTCAATTCAAATATGACATCCAAGGTGCTGACACAATCCCTATACAATTCAATAGTAAAGATATAAATTATCAAAAAGGAGACTATAAAAAAATAAATCTTGGTTTTAATTTAATAAATTGGTATGAATTATTCAAGGATTTAAACGTGGACCATTGCTACAGTGCTTTCGTACAAAAATATAATGAGTTGATTGAATTGAATATTCCAAAGAAAAGAGCCAGGTTTGATCAAAAAGTTAAAAAAGACCCATGCATAACAATTGAAGTTAAAGCTTTAATAAGTAAAAAGAAAAATTTATGGAACCAATTAAGAGCTGGTAAATTTAAATATCTTAATAAATTAAATGAGTACAAAGCAGTAAAAAAATTAGTCAAAAGCAAGTTAAAAGAATCCACTATTGATTATGAGAAAAATCTTATAAATAATGCAAAAAAAAATCCGAGACTGTTCTACAAATACGCGAAAAAGAACCAAAAAAACATCGGTAAAATACAATTAATGAAAAACTATGCAAATGTACTCACATCTGACAGGCATGAGATTGTTAATATATTGAACAAAAGTTTTCAATCGGTTTTTGTTAAAGAGCATGGTGAAAATCCGGAGTTTGTACCACGTATTACAAAACCTTTTGAATGGGATTGGAAAAATGTTGTTACAAATGAGGCAGTTCAGCAAAAACTGTATTCTTTGGACGTCAACAAAGCATGTGGTAGTGATGGTATTAGTCCTTACGTACTTAAAAATTGTTCAAGTAGTGCAGCAACTCCATTAGCTTTAATTTACCGAAAATCAATTGAAACAGGAAAAATTTCTAGCAAATGGAAAGAAGCAAATATTAATCCAATATTCAAGAATGGAAATACAACAGACCCGTTTAACTACAGACCCGTATCATTAACATCTGTACCAGGCAAAGTTATGGAAGCATTCATAAAAGAAGCAATAATGACTCATCTGATGGAAAATAAATTGCTATCAAAAAATCAACATGGCTTCGTAAAAAATAAAGCCTGTTTAACAAATTTGCTAGAAACATTAGACATGTTAACAGCAAGCATGAGTGACAGTTTAGCGGTAGATATGATTTATATGGATTTTGCCAAAGCCTTTGATTAGGTTCCACATAAAAGACTGTTGAAAAAGTGTGAAGCATATGGTATCAAGGGTGTAATAAATGACTGGATATCGTCTTTTTTAAAAGAAAGAAGGCAAAGAGTTGTGATGGGTGTAGACGCGTCTCCATGGCTTGAGATTTTTAGTGGTGTGCCTCAAGGCTCTGTGCTTGGTCCTTTGTTATTCTTGATATTCGCAAATGATCTACCATCAGTTATTAATTCCAATTGCAAATTATAAGCAGATGACAGTAAACTTATCAAAGTTATAAAAAATGTTGAAGATCATGAGTCTTTGCAGAATGACATTAACGAATTTGTAAAATAGACGGATATCTGGTTGACAAAGTTGAACATCGAAAAGTGCAAGGTGATGCATTTAGGTAAAAAGAATCGACGTATGAGTTATTGTATGAACCACGACAGCAAAGAGTATAAATTAAAAACAACAGTAAGTGAAAGAGATTTAGGAGTGATTATTTCATCCGACCTTAAATGGCATGATCAAGTGACTTCAGCGACAGCAAAAGCACAAAGAACTTTGGGTCTAATTAAACGTACGTTTACATACTTCGATGTGGAAATGGTGAAATCACTATATACGACAATTGTGAGACCGCTTCTTGAGTTCGCTATACCTGCATGGCAGCTTTATTTACAACGGGATATTGATGAGTTAGAGAAAGTGCAAAGAAGAGCAACGAAGTTAGTTCCACAACTTAAAAAGATTTCATATGAAAAAAGACTGAAAGCAATGGGTTTAACAACATTAGAGAAAAGACGAGCTAGAGGAGATCTTATACAACAATA